AGTTGCAGCCATCATTGTTGTTTGGCAGGCCTGGGCTGGATTTGAACCTGCCAGTTCAGGTGTATGTGGCTAGCACCTTAGCCACTTGAGCTACAGGCGCAGAGCCTATCTTGCATCTCTTAAGCCACTTTCTAACAGATTTTTTTTTCTAGGAGCTGCTATATTTAAAGAATAAAAGATAAATTTTATAAACATAGTGTCTGTATGCAAATGATACCTCTACACGATCTTTTTCAATGTTGAAAAGACTGTTTTAGCAATGTGAAGGACAGATGGGTGGAGATGGAAGTTAGTTTATTAAACAAAAGTGATCAACATTAATTGAGCACTTACTTTATAAGTGCCCATTTATGCCCATACATATATGCCCATTTAATATCCATAATGACAATGGAAGGTTCAACATCCAATATCCATAATGACAATGGAAGGTTCAACTGTTTTAGCAATGTGAAGGGAAGATGGGTGGAGATGGAAATTAGTTTATTAAATGAAAGTGATCAACATTAATTGAGCACTTACTATATAAGTGCCCATATATGCCCATATATATATGCCCATTTAATATCCATAATGACAATGGAAGGTTCAACATTATCTGTGTTTTACAAATAAGAAATCTGACATTTAGTGAGATTAAGTAAATTACCCAAGATTACATAAGATAAGAGAAAGATAATATTGGTAGTTGAAGCTATGTTTATCAAATTTCATTAAAAAATGAGAAAATCTAATATTTACTTAGTGCATTCTGTGAGTTCTGTGTTAACGGCTTCACAGCACTATCATCCACTGATGGCATAAATATTGATAATTTAGGGTATATTCATATTACAAGTCGATTGATGAAGAAATTGAATCTCTAGGAGCACTGAAAAACCTGGCTGAGGTTCCAGAGGTCAAAAGAGGTAACCACTAGATAATCAGAATCTTTTAAGTAACATAGAATTATACAAAACAATGATATGTTGATTGCTGTCTTTGATTTTTTAAAAAAAAACTTCATTTATTCAAAAAAAATTAGATATTCCTACAATACATAAACTAAAACTAAAGCTAGATTTTATATGACGTGATCCTCAATTGCTACAATATTCTTTTCTGAAGCCCTGAAAATAGTTGCTCATAATTCAAATGGCAATAACCAAAGGATAACTTACCCAGGATATAAAAAAGTGATTTACTTTATTTATTAGACAAGTAGACTAATAAACTTCAAAGAACCCTTTATAAAGGAAATTGTTTCTTGATTATTTTATAAAGTAATATTTAAAAATTATTTTATAGAAGTAATTATAGATATATTTTGTGTTTTTTCAGATAACTTTTCTTCTCAAGTCAACTTTTAATACAGGGGGAGGTATGCCACACAGACACACACACACATATTCTGATATACTCCTTTGGCCAAAATAAATAGGAAATTTCTCATATATGTGAAATTTTTATAGTCTAGTTCTTTTTATATTACTTCACATTAGTTAACAGCTGTTCAGAAGTCATTATATTTACATGCCTTAATATATTGTTTAAGTCTTCTAATAGTAATAGCAATAAAAATTAGAATTAGCCTTTTTTGCAGGCTATTTTTCCAAAGCATGATGGCATGGTTATTTCAACTTTAAAGAACTGCCCTGGGAAGAGCTACCATGATCACATCTTATAAATATTTCTTAAAATTATGAAGCCTGAAAAACCTTTGCATAGCAGCAATATTTACCTAATTCATCTCCACTTAACCATATACCCTGAGTTGTGTTTAATTTCCCCCAATTCTTTCTAAATTCTTTCAGATCAACAGATTAAAAGAATACATAACTGATGAGTGAAAATATATATTGAAATTTTGTGGCATCATGAAAACTGCTAAAATCATCATCATCAACAAAAAATGACTATACAACAGAAGGCCTGCCAGATCTAATTATTTAATGCTTTTTAGGTCTATTTCAATACCTTTAAGAGTCTGATTGTGGAAGAGCACCATTGTTTAAGGTGATCATAAACACTCCTAATTCAACAATGTTCTACAATTTGTGGTTACTCTTATGTTCCTTCTCAAAACTAGCAGAATTCATTATCTTTTATGTAACAGGAATATGTTATTTACTATGTTTTGTCAAAAATAATTATGCCACTTCTGAACTATTTATTGCCTTTACTAAAAAAAAAAAAAAAACCAGTTAAAACTTTAAAATTAAGAAAAATCCACCAACTATTAGGATTGCCATTGGCAAAACAAAAACTGAAATTTAAATTTCTTCAAATCAATTGATGACATCTGGATTACCTAAAAAATGGTGAAATATGAAACTTTATTGTGAAATGTTTGGAATGGGGTCACTCTAGCTCAAGCCTACCTTTCACATGGATACTTTTTGAGGGGCTTTATAAAGTCTAACATCTCAAAAGTGATGGAGAAAATTCCAGAAAATGCTAACAATGATTGTTGTGTTGGCATTTAAGGTTAAGCACATTAGAAGCAGCGAGTAAGGGTGGACAAGAAATTTTTCCTACACTATACATTCTGTTATTACAGTGGTAAAAACTAAATCATCACATTTGACATCTTGAAATTTTGCTTCTGCTTGTGATAGCAGTCCACTGTCTACACTATAGACCATTCCCTCAAATGTTCTTTGTTGAGGTAAACAGGATGAGAGGCTAGTACTTCTAGGGAGCACAAGATCACTACTAGACACAGACACGCCTTCCACATTTCTAAAGTTGTATCCATTTAACTACCTTAGCAGGATCCAACTACCAGTAGGCAATTTAATTCTTTCCGAAATAAAACAACTTATTCCTCTGGTGCATCACACCTCTCTGTCCGAGCTATTATTCTTCTTTCACTTCTCATCCCCTTCCCTTTAAAACCTTGTCAGAATACTTTCCACCCCTATTTCTAAGCAGGAACCATTGAGGAAATCTGCATAAACAAATGTTTTATTAGAGATAAATGAAGAAAACTTCACTATACCAAAACTTTAATCTATTTTTAATCTATTTTAATTTCATTTTAATCTCTTTTTCATATATCAGCTAAGTACATGTATCTGTTTTTACCCATTTACACAGTCCTATAAACAGACATTCTCATAGAATGCAACGGGTTCATAAATTGGTATAACTATTTAGAAGTATTTAATAAATTTTAAATTTTAACTAAATATTTCTACTTCTAGGAATTTGTTCCACAAATGCTTGAATAAATAGCCAAGATGGTGTAGCATTACACATAATATGTATGCCTCAAAGCTGTTTATGTAGAATGCTAATGACTGAAATGCAAAACTAAACTTCTCTCTGGACCATTTATTAAAAAGAAGAAATATAAATTGCATTTTTATTTCTTCTCATCATAATTCCATACTAGTGTGGTAGTAGTAAATAATCAAATTTAAATAATAAAGTTTAACAATAGATTTGATACCTTTCACTACACCACGTTTCCAAGGGCAGACATGTAGAATATATGGAACTATATTATCAGGATCTACAGTTATGCGTGGATTTCCCCACACAATTGGGAGATTTGAAGATACCTAGAGAAAAGAATTCAAAAGCAAGAATTATATAATGTACACACAAAATGTTTTCCATGCTTTAGCATGTTACACTACATGAAATTAGTGTAACAAGATAAAGCATAGAAAAAACTAAAAATTAAATTAAGTATTTTCATTATGACTATTCACTGTTAAATCAAAGTGAGCCAGAAAAATCCTAATAATAGTAGACAAAATTCTAAGAAGGGAACTAGGCAAAAGTGAAATGGAGGAAATGATTCTTACAAAAAGAATAGAGCTCATTTTGTGTTGCTGCTTATAACAAGATCATCAATGCTTACAAATTCTGAATGTATCTTATGGCCATGCACAATTTTCTTTTTGCAATTTGATTTACAAAAAAGACGAACCATTTCAATAATTTTCTACATCAATACAGAAAACAAAGAATATTTAAACAGAATTTAAGCACAAACCTGGTTAAATTCAACTTTCAATTTACTGGACGCTTATATTTTCCCACTCCCCGCTGCTCAGACAAGCACTAATCTGCTTTGTGTCTCTATACATTTTCCTATTATGAACAATTCTTAGAGATGAAATTATATAGTATGTAGTCTTTTTTCATTGTCTTTTTAAATTTAGCATACTCTTTTTTCATTTTTACCTATTCCTAGTTGACAAATACAAATTGTATATTTATGATGTAAAACAAGATGTTTTGGTATATGCATACATTGTAAAATGACTATATTGAGTTAATCACACAGAAATTATCTCACATAATTATCATTTTTGTGATGAACACTTAAATTTTACTCTCAGCAATTTTCCATAATATATTATATTGTTGGTAACTATGCAACTATGTTGTACAACAGATCTAATACATATTTTGAACTTATTCCTTCTATATGACTGAAATTTTTTCTGCCCATTGGCCAACATCTCTCCAACCCTTCCTCTTTCCCCCAACAAGGTCCTGGTAACCACCATTCTACTTTCTACTTCTATAAATTGAAGAGTTTTATATTCCACATGTAAGTGAGATCATGCAGTAATTGCTCATCTGTGACTGGCTTATTTTGCTTTGCATAATTTTCTCCAGATTCATATTATTACAAATGAGAGGATTTCCTTCTCTTTTATGGCTGAATAGTATTCTATCATGTACATACAACACACTATATTTATTGATTCATCTGATGCATACTTAGGTTGATTCCATATCTTGGCTATTATGAATCATTAATGGTGCAATGAATATGAGAGTGCAGATATATCTTTGAAATATTGATTTCATCTCCTTTTGATATATACCCAGAAGTGGACTTGAATTATATGGTAGCTCCATTTTCAACTTTTGGAGAAACCTCTATAGTATTTACCATAATAGCTGTACTACTTTACAATTCTACCAACAGTGTAGAAAGGTTCATTTTCCTCCTCAGGTTCACCAATGAACATCATTCAGTGTTTTGTTTTGTTTTGTTTTTTTGAGACAAAGCCTCAAGCTGTCCCCCTGGGTAGAGTGCCCTAGCCTCACAGCTCACAGCAACTTCCAACTCCTGGGCTCAAGCGAGTCTCCTGCCTCAGCCTCCCAAGTAGCTGGGATGATAGGCGCCCGCCACAATGCTCGGCTATTTTTTGGATGCAGCCATCATTGTTGTTTGGCGGGCCCGGGCTGGATTCGAACCCGCCACCTTAAGTGTATGTGGCTGGCGCCTTAGCCACTTGAGCCACAGGTGCTGATCCCATTCAGTGTTTTTGAATTCTCTTTTCTAGGTATCTTCAAATCTACCAGTACTGTGTAGGAAGTCTCCACATCACACAGACCATGGTAATGCAATCCCATATGTTTTATTTTAGTGTGTAATCCCTTTCATATATTTCTGGCTAAAGGTAGTATTTTTGTTGAAAGTATTTCTGTATAACCTATGTCCCTTTTTTCTTACAATCTTCCATTACTGTCATATTTTGAGTTAGATATTTTCTACTGTGCCATTTTAATTCCTTTTAGTATCTTTTATTCTATTTATGAGTAATTTTCTAAGTTGCTGTCCTAGGAACTATAATTAGTATCTTACTAATATCCATTAGATTAATTGTAACTTAATTTAAATAGCATATACAACTTGGCTCCAGTATGTGTCATGCCTTCCAATCCTCCTATGTGTTACTGTTTTCAGACCAATTACATTTTTATATATTTAGGACTATAAAGACATTTATATAATTATCTATTTTTCATTTTTCTTTTAAATGACCTAGAAGAATGGGTCATTTAAATGACCTATAAAGAACATCCATTGAGGTTGTATATTCTATTTCCCTACTTCTAATGTCATTTCACTTAAACTTGAAGGATTTCCTTTAGTTTTTCTTGCAGACTAGGTATTCTGGGGACAAATGCTCTGTTTTTGTTTATCTGGGGATGTATTAATTGCTGTCATTTATAAATTATATTTCTTGGTTGATAGGCTTTAGTTCTCAGTATTTTGAAAATGTAATGTTGCTCCCTTCCCACCTTCATAGTTTCTTCTGATAAATTGGCTATTAATCTTATTAAGCATATCTTGCATGTGACTAGACAATTTTCTCCTCATTTTTGATGATTCTGTCCTTTTCTTTGTCTTTCAAATATTTGACTGTGATGTATCTAGATACAGATCTCTTTGACTTTTTAAACTCTGAGTTGGTAGAGCTTCTTGGACATTAGATCAATGTTTCAAGGTTTTTTCCTCCAAACTTGTGGCTTTTATTTCTTTGTGAATTATTTCTGCCCCTTTATTTCTCTTAATACTATGATCTAAGTTTATAAAAATATGAGTAAGAGAGACTTGCCACTGTTCTCATAGTTTATGATCTGGTTAGGGAATAATAAACAGATAATAGCAACATGATGTAGTAGATGTAATGGGGGGGCAGATTACAAATATTCTGTGGAAGCAGGTGACAGGCATGTAATTCAGATTTAAGCAAACAGAGAAGGATTCTTAGTAAAAGTGGCCTGTAACTCAGACACAGATAAATAGAAGACAGAGACTTAGGGGGAGAGTTTCAGAGAGCAGAAATGGGAAATATGATATACAAACAAAGGATCAAATGCTGCTGCAGTCAGGAGTGGCAAAAGATTATGCTGAACTGATAAAAAGAAAAAGTTATAGAGTAATTTAAAGCCAGTTCAGGGAGTATGGACTTTGACTTCATAGGTAGGCGATGACATTGGTGGATTTTCGCTAGGAATAATAAGATGAGATTTTCATTGAGAATATTTACTTCATTTGCAAACCAGTAAGCAAAGAAGAAAACCAAGGCACATATTTTTAAAGATTATAAAAAAAAAAAAAAGGGGTCGGACATGGTGGCTCACATCTATAATCCTACTACTCTGGGAGGCAGAGGCAGATGAATTGCTTGAACTCAGAATTAGAGACTAGCCTGAGCAAGATTGAGACACCATATCTACTAAAAATAGAAAAACTGAGGCGGGAGCACTGCTTGAACCCAGGAATTAGAGGTTGCTATGAGCTATGATGATGCCATGGCATTCTACCCAAGGTGAAAATCTCCACCCTTCTGCAGTTCCCTCTAAAACTATATTCAGGCACACATAAGAGGTAGATATTTGAAGTGTCTTTTGAGATCCTAGCAGGCACATGATATTTTGCAGATAAATATAGGCGTGAAGGGTGGAAAATTTTATTTAAGGATTGATTTAAACAAATCCAGTGAGAAGGACATAGTGGGAAACTTTCTGACACATAAAGATGTAAACAATTATGCATTTCTTAACATTTCCACTATTATTCATATGAGTAAAGGATAGGATACACTTCTGAAATTTTGCTGTGCCTACAGATTTGACAAAACACCTTTTATTATGTATAATTTCTTTAAGCAACAATATACAACTCAACTAGGTAGATTTTAACATTTTATGATTATGTACTAATACCTAAAAATAAAATGTGTCTGCTACAATTTAACTTTATAATTGAAATTAAATTTAATAGTTGTTGGATTAATAAAAGTTCGACTTGTAAACATCTCTTTATGCGACATTGTTTCACCTGACTCAGTAACACTTTCATGTAATAATTACATTTCATATACTTCAATTCAATAAGTAGTATATTCAGAAGAAAACACTTTCAAACTAAAAAGAGCATACTTACCTCAAAGGTCAGGATGGTATTTGTATGATTAGGTACCATTATGGGTTTATCTGCTGTTTCTCCAACCGTGCATTCCACGACTATGTGCTCCAAAGCCAGGGGCTTTGTTCCGATCCCTTTTATATCAAACACATGCTCCATTCCATCTACTTCATTTTGGAGGATAAGTTTACCCTATAAAAAATCAGCCAAATTTCAGCTCTATAGAAGTCATAGTTCAGTGCCAAACAATCTCTGCTAGCCTATTAATCTTGAGTCTGGTTAATCAAATGACCTCATAAGGATGTGTTAGCCATTTCCAGTTCACGTATAAATGCTTCTGCTGAACAAATCAAGATAAACTTCTAGTGAAAAGCTCTTTATTTCTCTTTACTATCTCTAAATTACAGTGTGTATGTAGGCATCCTCATACATAGCAATTATATGTGTGTCAAAGAAGTATTGTCTAAAAAACATATTTTCTGATGTACCCATTTCCCTAATGAAGAAGAACAAAGGAAATAGTGAGTTTTACTTTGTTCAGCACGTTGTGTAAAAATGACCCGGATATAAGTATTCACAGACAATTGTGTTGCAGTTTTCAGTATATATACCCTTCAAATTAAAAAAACTAAAGTTTCAAGCAAAAAGCTATCAAATTCACAGAAGATAAAAATATATATTAATACATTAGTTCATTCACATGCTAATACTGGGGGAAAAAAATCAATGACTTCTTACCACAACTTCGCATTCAAAAATAGGTTTGAATGTGAGAGGATACTGCGCCGTTTCACCTGGGCCAACACATAAAATCAGTGGTCCATAAAACCATTCTCCCTCGATAGTAACACGACATTTCCATTCCTTCTTTGTTTTATTTTCCTAAAGTATGGGGGGAAGGTACAAAAACATCAATGACAGCTCTCTCTGTCCTGTCTTCCCCCTTGCTCTTCTCTACACTCTCTCATCTCTTTCCTACTCTCTCCTTATCTCTCTCCCCTCTCTTCTCTCCTCCTTAGTGCTGCTCTCCCCCACCAATAAAGACCTTTCATACAAGCAAAAAAAAAAAAAACAATGACAATGTCAATAAAGTCAAATTAAATATTAATTCTTGATAATTTTAATAAAAATGCATATTGTATTTTTATTGCTTTTCTTAAATATCACCATTTGGAAGGCATAATTTTTAAGAGAGACTATCAAAATTGTGAACACAAGGTACAAGGATGACTATATATTCTTTCTATGTCACACAGGAACATTGTTCAATATGTCTATTCAAGGATTGTTTGATATCCAGAGAAATGTCCCTTTGTTTATGACAGGTTTAGGGGTAGAGTTGGGATGAGGGTCCATAAGAAGGAGAGAAGGCCAGTCCAGGGATTAAGGAAAGGCTTTATTAGAAAAGATAGAGTGGAGTCTTTGCAGGAGTCAACTCACTCTCACATAGTTTTAAGAAGCTTCTATTAGTATAGTTGAAACATGGTAGGGGCTTATGAGAGGTGAGGGAAATCATCTTTTTCTGCAGAGTGAGTGATTATTGCTTCAGAGACTGATCTTAGAATTACTCCCTTCTGCAGAAGTGTTAGTCTTCTTTCTAGGGCCTTATCTCTAGTGTCAGCCAGAACCAGTGTAGGAGCCTGCTTGTTCTGATGTTTCCCAGGAACACTGGCCTTGAAGCATTCCAGGAGTGTGGGGAGAGGGTTGCTGTGATCATGCAATTTGCTTTCTGGCCTGCTTTCTCTCACTAGCTGTCTCCCAAAATGGCTGTACTCTTGCCAGGGTCATAAGAATTCTTTTCCAACATTTTGACTTATAAATGACTGTTAAAAATAACAAAATGGCCTTGTAAGACACATGTTCCTCCTAATTAGGAGAAGTAATGGGTGTTCTACTTGGTAAATTGCTAAGACTGCAACAATTACGTATCTCATAGCAACAGATTTTTGGGCTTCAAGATGACTTTTGTCATGTCTTTGATAATTAAGCAAGTAAATGAACAAACAAAATCAATTTGCCATTTTAAAAATCCAAAGGTCCTTATTATTACATCACCTTTTTCTATGCTATATTGGTTCTCTGACTAAGATAGCCCAGTTAGCTACAGCCCATTATTATTCTCAGTAAACCCATCATAATCAGGTGTTAGATCACAAAAGAATTTGGAAAACAGTGATTTGAGAGTTCATAACTCTGTCAAAGATAAGAGGCAGAAGTTTTGACTAAGGAATCTAGTAAGTTAAAGACATTGGAATTATTTTTTTAAAACAAAGAGATCCAATAGAAGCGATTAATCAGGCAAATAACATGATAACATCTATGTTCAGGAAGAAATTTTGGCATCAATGCACAGAAATAATTGACAACAGATAATGTAATTATAAATCTGTAATAGCTCAAGACTAGAAGGTTTAGAGGACTTTAAATTGAAAAAGTAGCAATGGGAATGAAGAAGAGTAACCTCTCCAATTTTATACATACCATTGGAATATTCTGGGTAAGGCATTCAAACGCTGGTGTTTCAAATTCGAATGAGGCCTCAGGATGTTCTTCGTTCACCACACCTTCAATCTGGTAGACACGCACATCATACTTTGATGTCATCAAAATTTTACATGGGTAGCGTCCAGGGGTAAGAGGCGCAAATCTCAAAGGAACGGGAACAAATCCATCTGCAGCCATTAAAATGATTTAAAAGATAGTTCAATCATTTAAAATGTTATGAATCCTAAAATTTATCTTGGACAGCAACATTTAATATTGTATTAAATTATATTGTATAACCTAGAATAGATTAGGTTTTACTGAAGTAACACAGTGCCTTTAAGTCTCCAGGGCTTACCATGCAAGTTTATTTACCAATGACAGAGTGCATCTTACATAGGAAGAGGAAGGTCTGAGAAACATCAACATATTGTAACTCTTGCATTCAGCCACATTATTTGGGTTACCAATCTCTATACACTTTGGTTACCCCCAATTTTTCAACATTCATAGGTCACATAAAAAATGCTGGAGTTCAGAAACTCCAAAATATGGCACTTTGGCATGCTGAACTGAATGAAAACGCTCAATGTTTCTTTAACTTCCCCATCTCCCTTTGTTTCTCAGTCTTGTGTCTCTCCAAAAGCACAGGATTACGTTGCTCTCTCAATTCCCTTTCTCTGATGAAGGTCTGGATTGCCAACAAGACAAATAATGTCTGACTCTCAGGCTCATTCAAATTCCAAACAGAACTGTTGACAAATTAATCTCTGTTCCTGGATCCGAATCATTTCATTCTCCCTAGTAATCATTTATTGCCCCTGAACAGAATCCTTCTTCACCTTTCTGTAACCTGATTGGCTACCATTATCCATTTTGCCAGGATCCAAACCTCCATTCTTTCTGCAAATGCAAGATCGTATATAAGCTTCTGAACTTTGTTGAGTGGGCATAATCACTCTGTGATTTTCTTCCATGTACACATTAATAAATTCTATGCCTTTTTCCCAATTAATCTGACTTTTGTGAGTTGGTTTTTCAGTGAACCTTCAAAGGGCAAAAGGGAAACTTTTTTCCTTGGCCCCTAAAAATGTTTTAAAATAGTTCAAACTTAGTCATCCCTTAATGCAACCTCCTTCCTCAAAAAGTTGCCTAGCAATTGAGCTAACTTTGTTTTTATAACATGTGAATTATTCATTTTTATTATTTGTTTAGCCAAATCCTCATGGGAAGTACCCACATTTGATTATTTAAATAACCACTGCTCTTGGATCCCAATTTTTTTTCCAAATTCAATTTCCTTCAGCTATTAATGTAAGTAGATCTTTCATTTGTTCCTTTAGCATTATATCTGAGTTTTAAACTGTCTAAATTTCATTGTTGGATTAAAATGCTTTTATTTTATCCTTATTCTTGAATGATAGTTTACTAAAATATGCAATTCTAGGTTTCTAATAACACTATAATTCTGCTATCACTATAATTTTTGCTTCTTTACAGTGATCTGCCTTTTTCTCTCATTGGATTTCAGAATTTCTTGTTTTTGTCATTCTATTATTTCACTATACCCCACCCATATGTGAACTTGGGTGTCATTCTATCATTATCTGGCATTGAAAAAAAATTTATTTCTGCTTTTTTATTCTCATTTGCTTCTAGAAATAGAACAGATTTGTCTTTAATGGAGGACGAAATCTCATTCCCCCTTCATTTTGTAATGATCTTTTAGATCTAAAAGTGGAAGTAGCTTAATGCCTACCCATTGGCCAATTTCCTGTATCACACAAGCACCCACCTATTAAACGTAGGTAGGATATTTTCTTGCATTCACTGGTAGTGTTCTAATAATCTAGAGAGAGATTTACATCTTAGGAATCTCTTTCTGTTACAGGTTGAGTATCCCTTATCTAAAATGCTTAGTTAGGACTAGATGTGCTTTGGATTTTGGATTTTCTTTTTATATTTAGGAACATCTGCACATACACAATGAGATATCTTGGGATGGAACCCAATTATAAACAATAAAGTCATATATGTTTCATATACACCTTATATGTGTCATATGAAAGCAAGTTTATACAATGTCTTTTAATAATTTTCTGCATGAAACAAAGTTCTGTGTTTTACCACGACTCATCGCATGAGTTCAGGTGTGAACTTTTCTACTTGTGGCATCATGTCAGACTTCAAAAGGTTTGTAATTTTAGACTATTTCAGATTAGAGATGTTCAACTTATAATTGATAAATTCCCGTGCAACCAATAACATGTACAAGTCCCTTGGACTCTTCCCATTTCTGTCATCACTACTACCATCAGATCAATATATGAGATTCTATAAATCCTTGATAGGGTGATGTCCCTCCACATTTTCCCAATAGATGCAGTCATTGTAAGTCCAGCGGCTTTGTTTTTGCAGGAGGGATGCAAACAGAGAAGTGTTTAATAGAGGACAAGATCAATAAGCAAAACAAGATGCTGGTCACCTTAGAAAGAATTTCACATACATCCATTCATTTGAAAAATAGTTTTAAACATCTACTATGCGCCAGGAGGTGTGCAATAAGGAGTCAGTTTTCCATTTTTAAGGTAGGTGTAGATACATTTCTGAGGAAAAAGATGATAGGGCTGTCTTGTTTCCTCTTTACACCTAAAACACTTGGATTTGACGTCAGACTGGGTACACTATTAAAGATGTTTTTCAATCTGGCCATGTAAACTCAGTAATTAATAGTAATTCCTTATAGGATACATGTAAATGTCTGGTTGTTATCTTTCTTATCCATTGCTGCTGAATTTTTAAATTACTGTATGTATTCATGGATCATATAATAGAAAATTAGGAGAAGGCCTATTAAGGAGCTCTAGCTTACCAAAATTGTAACTATTTTAAACAGTAAGTTGTCATTTACATATGTCATTTATGTTTGTATTTTTTCAAAGAAGATAAAAATTTCCTAAAGAAATTTTAACAGAATAAGATTTCAGTTTCTAATTAACCCCTCCATTGGGAAGGACGCAAAGGATTGCTGCCAGCAAGTGAACAGTGTGTTTTGCATTTCCATTTCTGAATACTGTAAGTTTTCTCTAATAGTATGCATTAAAAATAAAATTTTTTGAACAGAGTTGATTTTGAAGTTCTGGCAGATTGATTTACTAAGTGTTCAAATTTGTTTGAACGAGTTATAGCATTGTTTATTGTTTACAGCAAGCCAGTTTTAGCCCTTAGATTGCTATGTTTAAAAGAATACAGTAATAATGATCTCAAGCCTTGGAGTGGTAGATTAATACTGTAAATTGCTACAGTATAGTATCAAAAATATCAGTTACAACAAAAGAAAACATAGGGGGAAAAAACAAAGAAATTACAAACCACTCACAAGAAAAATAAAATCAGGCAATGGAAACTTCCTGGGAAAGTAACTAAATTTTCTCTTTGCTACAAACTTGGAATAGCCTTCATATGGTCTTTATTGAAAGCCTTTAGAATCAAGAAGTTTCACATAAATTCTGTGCTATATGTCCTTAGTTATATTTTCTCAAAGTGAAATGCTTTAAAATTTAAATTATCCTATATAGTCAACTGTATTCTTAGTTTTATTTGTGAACATATTCCAAAAAAATATGGCTATCAATAGCAATTAACCCATTACATCATAAGAACTACTTATTTGTGAGTCCTCTAAAGGGAAGAATATAGCAATCGTCATCATTTTGTCTAAAGGGAGTTGATGCTCAATAATGTGGATGAATGAGTGGCTAAATAAATAATAGCTTGGATTGAGAATCCTAGCTGTGTTTTAAAATAGACACAGTTTTATCCAGTTATCTCAAAAAATATTAAAAAGTATCAGAATAAGTTATTCACAGGCCAGGAGCAGTGGCTCACTCCTATAATCCTAGCACTCTGGGAAGCAGAGATAGGTGCATTGCTTGAGATCATGAGTTGGAGACCAGCCTGAGCAAGGGAGACACACGCCTCCACCCCCATCTCTACTAAAAATAGAGAGGCATGGTGGCACACGCCTGTAGTCCCAGCTACTTAGGAGGCTGAGGCAAGACAATCACTTGTGTCCAAGAGTTTAAGGGTTGGATTCTACCCAGGGTGACAGAGTGAGATTCTGTCTCAGAAAGAAAAAAAAGAATAAATTATTCATTTGAAAATTTAATAACACATTGAAACCTTGGAGTTAGTAAAAATAAAAAAAGAAAGCAAGGCAATAACTTACAATGAGGAGTCTCAAACTGACTGCTCTTAAGCCAAATATTCCCTCACATTTATCTGGCTGTCTCAGGATTTTATTTTTATGTTTTGGAATGTAAATGTTTAGACAAGGCATCTACTCTCTAGTTCACCACAGGATCCACCATCCTTGTTGCCTCAGCTCAGATCTATCATTTAAATCCTTGTTATATGCAATGGCCATTTAACATTTTAGTCTGGGATCTCAGCTCTCTTAGTGAGGTAAAGTAAACAGATTACTCTGTCATTTATAATTTGTAATTACCCTTTTAGGGTTAGAAATTTATTAAAGTTAACACAAATCTATTAGAGACTAACAAATGAGAATTCAACAAAACCAAATTCAGCAAAGGCATGATTTAGAATTCATGATGCTAGAGATATTGAACTTCCTAGGAATAACCCTCATGAAGAAATTATATTTCTACTATTACCCAGCAGCTTGAAAGAAATTGAAATAAAAATAAAGGTAATTTTGAAAAGTTAAAAATATGTAGTCACAGTGTTTACAGCTTACCACTTATATTTGTTAGTGTATAAATACTCATATTAAATTTGGATTGCACTTTCTTGATCACAGCAACAGAATAAAGGGGTACCAGGAGTATCAAACTTAAGTACACTACTCAACTAATAAAGACCCTGGTCTAGATCAAAAATAAATTACTCGTAAATGAGACATTGTTCCCCTCTGCCAAGCTCTTGCCATTGACAACCATCTTGTTCTTTAGAACCAGTGTTAGACTCAACTTCAGTACAAATTCTGTAACAAATTCTTCTCAAAGCAAGAATTCACCTTCTGCAAAGTCCATTTATTGTCTTTAAGAGATTGTTACTTTTTAAGAAAGACAGGTCTGCAAATTTTAGTGTCAGTAATTTAGCATTCAACTTCAGTACAAAATGTAGATTACTGTTATATAATATGTTGGTTTTTCATAATCCAAAATATCATTCATTAATTTGTACTCATGTAGCTGAAACTCTACTTAATTATATTATGAATACCTCATGAGTAAAAGAGTAATTCATTCTTGCTTCTAACTGTGAAGCTTGTATTAATACTTCACAGTTCTTGGAACACTTCTATATATTTCAATCCTCATATCATTAATTACCTGAGTATTTTGCAGGTTTAATTCTTTGAGATTTCGTCAACTTAGATTGTGGTTCTTGAATTTGAGGGATATTAATTTTCTTTGGAATATCAAAGTGCTCAGGGAGGCTTACTTCAGTTATGTATGAAATAGACTTAGGCTTCTTCATCTTGGACATACTAAAGAGCATAAGCGACTGTAAACAAATAATAAAATTGAAATGGTAATTTCTTCTAACTTTTAGCTCTAAAACACAAAAGACAACATTATTTATTTAGACTAAACAAGTGGGGAAAATCTAATAAGGGACTGAATTTGTTCACTTTGTTATTTTTAATTAATTGGTGGGAGATATTACATGTACAGTTACAGGACCAGTAGGGTTCTCCTTTATTGAGAGATGGCCCATGTCTCCAGCACTAATGCTTGCAGTGTTGAGGAATTCATTGCCTCTAGGAGGAAACCATTTCACTAGTGACCAGCATTGAAAAATCACTTCCCTCATTCAGTTTAACCTGTGCTCCTTCACATCTACCCATCAGATACATCATATATATGTATATAGAGTGAGTCTCTTTTTCTAATGACAGTTTTGTGGCTTTATAAAAATAACTAGGCCTTAGCCCTCCACAGATGTCCATCAACTCTTCATAACAATGTTTGATATTTTTAGTTTCATTAGCATTACTCACATGTGAGTAAAATGACTTATATCCATGTATATGATCTTTTAGACACAATCTAGTTCAATACTGTCCTTCCAAAAATAAAATACTGAAGATAAACTCAGCTCTCTAAGTTAAAGTGAAGAAGTTTAAAAATGGTATTTAAGGCACTTTTTAAATTCAATTAAGCAATGACAGGGCACAAATCATGAATCAAATGTCAAGGGATAGACAAATACACATTAAGAAAAATACTTTAGAATTAGCAATCTGAATGAAGAAACAGACAAACATAAAAGTAAAGATAATAAAGAACAATTCATTAAATGCCATAATAAACACAAAAAGTGTGCTGAATTCAAAGGAGAAAGCTAAAGGAAGAGGGAGAAACTATACATTTGCATACAAAATGAAAAAAAAAACACGCATACAAATGGACAAAAATCTGCCTCTTTCAACCATTTTTTTAAAATAAAATGTTTTCACAACAGATAGTAATGAAAAAACTAATTTAAAAGGAAAAAGAGGTAGAGAGAAAGAGCAAAGCCTGAAAGAAGGGGTGAACAAGAAAGTGAGTGAGTGTGCTGTGACACGATTAAAGCTTGAAATGGCCACACATTGGAATAGGGTAATAGTATACTGAAAGTTGAACATAAACCTTCCCAGATACACAAGGAAGGTGCATTTATTTGTAATAGTGCACTATTTATTGTAATAGTGTACTGAAAGTTGAACATAAACCTTCCTAGATGCACTGTTCTGTAGCAGAAGTAATAAGCAGTTTGGTTTGAGTGGAAGAAACTGTCAGGTTCTTAGAAGCACAGTGTAGGGAAGATAGTCAAGAGGGTAGCAAAGCCTCAGGCTTTAACATTTTTGAGCTAATCAGAGCTTAAAAATTCAGGTCATCTTTAAAATGCCATCATTAAATTGTTAGAAATCTGTGGTTAGGCTGGTTAGGTTTTCTATTAGTTCTAATTTGTATTCTGACAAATTAAAAAATGAAATCATTCCTATAATGCCAATTATTTGTTAAAATGAATACTGTATAAATAAAGTAAACCTTAAACAAGGATAAAAAACATATATAAAAATGTATGTAAGTTGGTGAAGAAGAACATCACTGATAGCATTTTAGCAGAGACCTAAAGTGATCAAAAGAGACAGCCCTTTCCAGGAAAAGAAATAGCAGAGCACAGCAAGGGGGCTTATGCTGAGATGTGGCCTGAGTGAACAGACTCCCCTGGAGAGCAGGGATCTGGGAGGAGGTAGGACAGACCAGGAGGGTCATGTAGACCATCCGAAGGATGTGGGCTATGGGCTTTCATCTGATATCAGCTGGAAAGCATTGGAGGAATATGTAGAGAGGAGCTATATGAACAGGGTTGCATTTATAAGAATCACTTTGGCTGTTATCTGAGAATAGTTTGTACTTTCTCTTAATCACAAAAATGATTGTACCCTATCTTAAGCTATAATAATAGAGCATATAATAGTAGTAATAATGGTCATAATAATAATAACCACATTACCATGCATAAAGAGAGTACTTATCATATACCAGGAAATATGCTAAGCATTTTACGTAGTTATCTCCATTTTTATAAATTACCAACACTTCCATACGAAAACTACAAAAATGAGACTTGAGGAGGAAGTGACCAGCCCACAGTCACACAGAAAGACAGTTTAGAACTGGGATTTTCAGTAATCAGAAATCAGAGTTGACCCTGCCTAGGTATACGATACAATATCCCAGGCAACTTCTATAACATGTTCCCACCTACTCACTGCCACAGATTCATATTTAACAGTTCTGGAGTAGGTCTGGGTACTGGCACTATTTTAAGTTCTCCCAGGCATTCTAATGTGCAACTACAATGAATTAATAACTACCCTATAATGCCTCAAATTACATAGTAGAATGCTTTGTTCAGATTATTTAATGAGGTTAAAAAAAAAGAAAAGAAGTCAACTGAGCTATTTTCCTGGGGGAAAAACAATATTGATTATTTTTCTAGGTAAAATGCTAAAGTAGTAACAGCCCTGTATATTTTTTAAAAGAGAGTACTTTCCATGCACCATTTGTTCTCCTTTCTTACCTCAATCTTGCTCAGCCCGAGCAGCGCAATGGCCACACGGACACTACTGCTTTCCAGAGTGCCTGTGATCAACCTTCGTTCATACTCAATATCTGACATCTGCTGCTGCGCAGCAAACGCCAAAGCCCTTTCCTTTGCTTCATTTGTTAAGGGAAATTTAAGTTCCACATCCAGGATTTGACGGATATCACATTTCAAATACAGAACTGGATCTTCCTTATTTAGCTCTAGGGAAAATAAAAATATATATATTCATGAATGCAATCAACATTCATGCCCTTGACATTGTTACCCAGAAAGAATTTGGGAGGTTTGGAATATAAAAACCGCAGTTATGGCCTTCATTAAACAGAGTAAAAATAAATGGATAGCACTTTTCTATTAGTTCTAACTCAGTGACTCAAGAGTTATACTCTTCAGGAATAAAAGATATTTTACTGGTATTCTCTAAGAAGAGTCCTAGTCAAACGCTTCTTTTATAGAAGCATCATCAACATACTCACAATTTCAGTGACTTATCAATGATCAGAAAGTAGAAGGAGCAGAAATGAACATTTTTTTAAAAAGACCCCCATCAAGGACTATCGAGAACTGCCATTTTCTCTCACGAACAACTTCACATTTTCGTGCCTCATTCTTTAAAAGTCAATGATCAAGAATTAAAGGCCAGGGTAAAACTCCAGGTTATATAACAATATATATATTGTTGAGAGTGTGATAATTTCCAAATTATTTGAGAAATGAAAAATTTTGCTAAATAGAATATTCTGTATGCCAAATTCTGATATTTATCTGAAGATTAATGAGGAAAATTTAAAACAAAATCACCATTAATTTATTTTTTAGTGGCGAAATAGTGCTAGAAAGGCATTTCCTGGGTATTGACAGAACATTGAAATGGGAAATTTTAAAATCTAATTATTTGCTGGAGAAACTTGCTAAGAGGAAGCTTAGGTAACTATATGAGAAACATCCTCATCCTTCAATTTTAAACATGAAAGAAAACACATGTATACTCTACCTTCGTCTGGCGAAGTGCTGTAGTCAATGGAACTTGAAGAAGTTTCCTTCGGGAAAAAGCTAGAAGGTAAAGGAATCATTCCTTTTCCTTCCACAGCGTATATTAATTCTCCGATCTAAAACACAAGCACACATAATATTAAATTTTAAAAGCTCATAAAATATGATAAATCTTTGTGCTACGAGGAAAATCTGCATACCATAATAACTGCTGGGCATTGTGCTTTTCTAAGCAATATAGGCTCTAAAAGGGTAGCAAAAGTAATGTTCAAATATAGCATGCAAGCAGAATGCATGGATTAAGAAGGTCTCGGGACAGCACAGACAGGAGTTGTTCTTTGTTGCTACAAATGTCCTTGTAAAATTGCTATCTTGAAATGAACAAACAAGCAATGAAAAAATTTCCTTGATTCTGTAACTTACTGTTAAAGGGAGTGACATTATTCTCATAGGGCATTTTAGTCTCCAAGAGTCTGTATTTTAAAATGCAAAATTAGCACATAAGGGTTTGAAAATCTCTTAGAACAAATGATTATGCAGGAAGTACAAAGGGCTTGGGAATGAAAATAAACTTTTTATCTGAGGAATGTGAGCTGTCTTTAATTATCAGGCCCAGAAAAGCACTGAAATGTGACAGCATGTAACAATAGTTTTGTCTCACTCTCCCCTTGAGCTAAATAATTGAAACCACTTGATATGTGGGCTCTAACTGATGCCAAGTAACCATAAAATGCCATATGCTGGACACCATAACTCATATGCCATGGTTCAACAATGTGTAGCCAATCAGTAACCGATGTTATTTCTGGAAAAAAGTGAGAATTCCTGTCAAACTACTTTGTATCAGCCCCCAATTTGTCCCCTGTTGTCTTAAAAAACCTGCTTGTTACAAAGACTGAATGCAGCACTCCCAAAAGTATTGGAAAGCTTGCTTAGCACTTGCTCTTGAGGCTGCATCAGAAGAGAACAAGTGGTTTGATAAGAAGGAAAGGGAAATGTATTACTTTGCTGGAAAAGCAGGAAAAAATGTCAGAATATTCCTCTCAAAATACCAAATTTCCTGAACATAAGCAGAAAAACAAATCTTTAAAAGAAAAGGAGGGGCTATTGTAGTTCAACAATAGTTAATGATTCTAATCTTCCCATCTCTGCTTGAGACTAGGCCAGGACCTCCACCCTCCTGGGAGGCCCCGATCCTGGCCTCCATCTCCATCTTGACAGTTAAGCTGAACCATTTCCTGTAACATAAAAAGCAATAGACATTATCCTGCCCCTCTGGAGCATGGCCTGAGGTAAGGATGGAGGCCCCAGTTTCCAAAGAGTCGAGGAGGCTTTAAAGAGACAAAACAGTTTTGCCCATTTTTTCCCCAGGTCATTCCCTCTGTTACAAAGGGAAGTTGGAAGTGTGTTCTGGGCAGGTGTTCTCACCCTTGGCTGAAATCAACCCTTTATATTGATTCTGCCTCCAGTTTCTTTCTTTTAGTCAACAAGCTAAACAAGAATACAAAATAAAAGTGGGAACAATGCAAGGGCAGCAATATGGTATAGTGAAAGAAAGACTAATAGAGGTAAGCATGCCTGGTTTAAACTAGTACTGCCATTTATGAGCTAATAAGCCTCTGGCAAGTTTACAAAATCTCTGACTTCCACTTTTCTCCTCTGTAAAATGAGATGATCAATACCTTTATTTTAAGGATCTAGAGTGGAGATTTTCAACTGGGGTGCCATGGCACACTGGTGTGCCAGGAGAGGATCTTAAGCATGTTGTGAAAATTTTAAAGATCATTAATTAAATGATTTTAGAAATAAGTTCAAAGTGAAAGCACATGCAGTGAGAATAAGATGGAGTCTGTCAGGCTAGGGCAGGCATGACACAGCTGGTCTGGTTGTTTAGGCCCTAAGTGACCTTCACCTCCTGCCTCTTATTTTTATCATTTTGTAAATTGAGCTCCCACCCTAAAGATGTCCATCTTGACTAGTTTAGGAAATTGTCTGTGGAATTAGAGGTGTTGTAATAGGTCACTGAGTTGTGCTATTTATTATTTAAAGTAAGAGTTAATGTGGTCTTTGCTTTGAACCATTATGTATGTATAAAACTGTGATTTTGGAAATGGAGAAGCCACTCTCACTGTTTGCCAGCCTTCTGACAAATAAAGTTTGGTGGACTTATCCCCAGCTATGCATATTGGCAAATGGTGACAGGCAGCCAGACCCTTTTCATCAGGTAACAAAAGCATAGTAAGCATATTACTTTTTTTACACTTTTTCTTTAAATCAACATAATATACACGTGCCATGGAAGTTTAACTATAGGTTCAAGCATATAGTGAGATTAAAAAAAGGTTGAAAAACACAGATCTAGAGTTTAAAAGAAAAATAATTACAGAGAAGTCTCAAAAGACATATCATACAATCACAATGGACAAACCTTATTTAGATCCTAATTCAAACAAAGAAATGGAAAATGAAATGACAGAAAATAAACATACAAATCAGGGAAATTTAAACACTGCCTAGATGACTGATGATATAAAGAAAAATTTTACAAAAATTTTAGCAATAATGGGAGTATCAAGAAAGGGAGTGTTTCTTGAAGAAATACTAAATTATTTATGAATAAAGTTGTGATGATTGATTTTTGCTTCATTATAGTCATGAAATATTTTTGGCTATGCAACATTGTAGCCGAGTGAAGGGTACAGGAGAGATTTATTGTAGTTTTAACTTTACAATTGTATGAACAGTAAACCAAAATAAATCTCCTCAAATTATGATTCTTTTGTATAAGAATTATTTTTTAAGGCAAGCATGAAACCAAGTTTCTTGGGAAAGAGAAAGGTTTACTGAGTAAGAGCAAGATATACGCTTACAGAGCAAGGTACATTCACCATAGACAGCAAATGGGCCCTATTGTCTCAACAAAGAAAAAGTACAGAGGCCTGTATGAGAATTATTTTAAGCTGGAGGCGACTGAGAAGAAGCAGATACAAGAAAAGCTCTCTGCCTTCCCCTGTTTGCCTAAAAGGACATAAATTGACAAAGGTGTCCTCCTTTCCTTTCCATTAGAAAGGACAATTTTAGACCCTACCAGCCTAGAGGAGGCATCAGATTAAGCTAACAAACTCCCTTTCATTTCCCTTCCCTAAATTTGACTCCCCTAGGTCTTGTCACTACTCTAAAAATGTACTTTTCTTTGTTGAAGATACTATGTAAGCCTGGGTTCTAAACCACCTTGTTGAGATTCCTTGCATTTGTATCTCCCATGTACATATGAAATACACATGTTAATAGCTGTTTTTCTTTTAATTATAAGGGTTTGTCCCTATTAAGGAACTACAAAGGGTAGAGGGAAAATTATTTTTCCTTCTCTCTATATATGTTTTATATTCTCCATAATAAAATCTTTTAAAAAAAATCCCTGTATCTTAAAAAGGGAATGATAGAAAGGATGCAATGAGGACCACATGAAAGAAAATACTAACCTAACCCTTTATCAGACACTTACAAAGCACATAAGAGATCCATTTAACACATTAACTGTCACGTGAGTTGTACCTAACCTATGCTAGTTTTGAGCCTGAGGCCTCATGAAGCACATATAACTTACAAGTCTCTTGACCGATTTTGGCCTAATGAAATACTGTGGCTGTAAGGAAAATTTTCTAGCATGGCAGTCAGTGTGTTAAAAGGAGTACATCTATTCTTAGAAAGCAGGGCTTCTCAGCTGACTTTTCTTTGTTCTGCCTTGCTCAGCTTATTTCTCCATCCCTCCCTTTTTCTGGTGGTGCTTTCCCTTGCCAAGAATGGGGTCTTCAGTCCCCCTTCTGCCTGCAAGGACCACTGTAAATGAAATCTGGCAAATTTAGATACAATGGAGAATTTTTTTTATATAGTTTTTTGTTGTTTTTGGCCGGGGCTGGGTTTGAACCCGCCATCTCCGGCATATGGGGCCGGGGCCCTACTCCTTTGCGCCACAGGTGCTGCCCACAATGGAGAATCTTATACTGGAATCTCCAGAAGCTAGGATCATAACTAGTTTTCAAATACCCCATAATCTCAAGACAATGTTACCGGCATGACTGAGAGACTATCCCAAAATTATCTTTGAGTAAACTGAGTAAACAATATATATGCATATGAAATAAAAGTAAATTGATCATGTAATAAAAACATATATTCCAAAATATTACAGATATCATAAGGAAGTGAGATAGTAGAAATTAAAAATTAATCTGTATATAATGTAAGAATGAATAATATCTGATTATGAGGTTAATTTTTATACGGCTTTATTATCTACCCAATGAGATTTGTTCATAATTCATTTGGTGGTGGACTTTCACATGATCATTGTAGGCAGGCTTCTTGAGATTTCAGTACACTCCTATTTTAAAGACTGAAGTAATGTAAAACTGGACTAGGCCCTCAGTTGTTGGCACACGTTAACCGCTTGCTTCCTTCCTAGCATTCCCTTGTTCTCACAGCAAATACTAACTTCAGATGCATTATTTCTTTGTGAAACAAAAGGAGATAGCACCAGGGCCACAAGAAGAATCCATGAGTTTGTTTAGCAGAAGTAATGAATGGCTCCCCAAAAAGTTGCAACTATCTCTTGATTCTTATTATTTTGGTTGCCCAAAGTGGTAGCTGAGCAAAGCTCGCTGTCTCAGTTGTCCGACAAGACAGATCTAGGAGATTTTCTTCCTGCCTTCTTATCTTGTCCAAATTGAATAAACCTTTGTCTCCAAGCACCTGTGTCACAGTGTTTGGTTTTAGCTGTGTATCAAGTACAACACCCTGAATTTGGGGCTCTACAACATAATGTTGCATAAAATTCTATTAAGATCCATAATTATCTACAGTTCATGCTGAAACAAAGGAATATGGAAAACTTTGAATTTTAAAAATTGTTTAGTATTTAATTCTATACATTCCTGTTAGTAATACTGCATTATATATAATGTTCATATAGTACTTTTTCTTAAGCAGCCACATGCTTTGCAAACAAAAATATAAGCTAGGCTTTTGCAATGTAATTTTGTCTCTGTGCTTGCCTATTTTAGTACAAATACAACTGAGTGATCAATATTAAAGATGTAAAATTTCCAATAGCTCA